TTACAGATATTAAAAGGACACATAAAGCAGCTAAAGGAGGGAAACGACAAACACCCATGCAATAGGAACAATGCAGTTATAACATAAACTAAAACAACATGAAACATGGAATTAAGAAGGAAAATAAATTTAAAAGAAATGGCAGTTTAAAGTCATTTTATTTAATTATCATCCTTCAGATTTTTCAAGAAATTTTGACTGAATATAATTTCTAATTACATAAATTTGATTCCAGCTTTTGAAATTTCAGAGGAGGAAGAAATATGTTTTATCGTTTCTTAAATGAAGTTAAATCAAGGAATAAAAAAATAAAAAAAACAAAGAAAATTTGTGGTAAAGTGTTAGAACTGATGAATTTTCAGTCAATAAAATATTCATGAAGTCACTTAAATATACATTAACTCTTTTTATTTCCTACGCACGATTTATACTTATACAGTAAGGGTATTATTTTTTAAAAAAATACTTACATAACTCATCTATCCGAAGAATGTTTCCTGTCATTAAGTGAGCTCGTTTGATTAAAGAATTTGCTCACTTAATAAACGGAAATTGTTTTAATTATTGAGTAAATCGAGACTGTTTGACTATGTAAACATATAACAGGATATTTATATTGAAAATAATTTAATAAGAATTTAAAGTAAGTAATTTATATTTCACGAATAATTTCTGTGAGTAAAATAATTTCTGTGAGTAAAATAATTTCTGTGAGCAAAATAATGGAACACCTGATAGAGTAACAGCAGTAAACTAGAGCTCACAAAAATTTTTCGCTTTTGTGAAACTCTCTGAAATATGCGTAAGAGAAAAGTAAGAATTTCAGATATCCAATGAATATGTTACAGACAGAAAAGGAGCTGGAAAAACATCAGAGTTTGATAATTATCAAAATGGCGTGGTTACTAGCGTGCTCATGCATGAGTATCTGTTCAAAAACATACGAAATCACAAATACAATGCAAAAAACAGTCTATAGGAATAGCATCTGTTCAACAACATACGAAATCACAAATACAATGCAAAAAACAGTCTATAGGAATAGCACTACCAATCAAAAATGAACAGGCGTTGATTTTTAACTTAAAAGGTGGTGCCGATGAAACTGCGAATTATCAAATAGAACAGTCCGAGCAATAAATGAGTTCGACATCAAAATCATAAGAATATGGCTGAGCAAATAAATTAAATAATAACCGAATTAAATGCCATTCAAGAATATATTATTCCAGGATTAATTCCATCAAGAACTTCATAAATCAGATAATCAAGGGAGCATTACAAAACATAAATCGAGAATAATGAGAACATCAAAACTGAAATTTTCACAATTGAGAGCTTACATTTTGGTTTAATGATTCGTTGTTCTATTTGTTTCTCATCAAAGAAAGCATTTACGTATGTCGAAAAGAACAGCAGCATTATTATTTCTCAATTCAAGGTGGTGAGATATATACACCGTACATTCAGTAATACAAATAACATTCTTTGATGCGTTCTTCCGTTTTCAAGAGGCTAAAGCTTATCCATGGAAAAAAACTCTAGAATGCATCTAAAATTTATTAAGATCAAAATGCGTCTTAAACAGATTTAATGAGCATAAGTGTGAAGTAAAATAGCTATAAGGATATCTTTTGCAGTACTGCGAAACCTTTATTGAAACATTTTAAGTGACAGGAAACAGTACCTTTTCCTCTACCTGTACTGGTAATAGTGTTGGAAGAGATATTACGAGAGGGAAACGGTAAAAAATATTTCATTCGTGTGCAGTCGTTATATGCATCTATTATAGCAGGAACTTCAGTGTTCGATTGCTAGCAATGATGCATTCAATATTCATAACTAATTTGAGGGTTCCATTATTTTGCCCAATACCCTATACTTCTTTTTTTCCATGGTAGTTTTCATTGTATTTCAATGACATACCTTTCTCTTGTTGATGAATTGATTCAAATTTTACACTGCATAATGCATCCAAGCAAATTTAACAGTTTTATAAAGCACTAAAGTAATTAAATACATTAAAAGTTTTGTTTTATAAATGGCATTTTTAAAATGCTAGAAAAGTTTGCTACAATTAAAAAAATCTTTAAAATTCGACGAACTTGATGAAACAGATTGTTAAGATGAATATGGCGCCAAATTACTGGCCGTGTCAGTGATAGCTAAGTTCACGTCAAAATATTGGAACTATAGATTCGCATGAATGACTCCAGGGCTAAGGCGGAATTAGACAGAAATATATTTTAATGAAATCTAAAATGTTTTGTAGATTTACTCAAGATGTTAATAATGTTAATTTCATTGTAATGAAATGTAAAAATATGATTTATTTTGATTTAAGTTTAATTTCGGTCCATTCACGACCTAACTTCATACGTAAATTTCATTTACGCGTTTTTATTTAAATTATGTATATACACTAAATAATAAGAATTTGAGACTATAAATCAAAATATTGCATTTACTTGAGATTAAATTTTGAAATTTTCAACTGTGTTATTAATTCTGAATTATACTTGATTTAAAAAATGTTTTGAGGTTTTGAAGTCTATATTTTGAAAGTCAGAAGACTTTATACCTATTAATAAAAAAGTTTACAAAAAATATGAAAATACTTCAATATGTAAAGATACGGAAAAAATAAAATTTTTTAATTGCATAAAATTAATTAAAATGCATGTTGATACTATTTCTGGAAACTAGCTATAGAAAAATATAGAAAAAATCTGTGAGATATTTTATAGAAGGGCTGTTCTTATATCTTTAACCATAGCAAACTTAAAATTCATCTAATTAACTCAAATATGTATTAAATTTTGTAAAACGTAACATTAGTATCTCTGTTCTCAAACCTAAAAATACTGATCTTAATTGAAATTCTAAGTAAATGATCAAGTTTTCTTAGATACGTTATAGCAAAAGATGCATTTAATTTATTGACCCAATATTAAATTAAACTTCATAGAGTTTTAATTGTAATATTAACAAAAATGCGTTTAAAAGCGTTTTTTAGATACACTTGAAGCATAAGAAAATTAAACAGTTTGCACATAAAATCTGTTCAGAAGACTAACAGACCGATTACAAGAAATACAGTCCCATCAGGATTAGCTCTTAAACACCAAGTACAGCTTATTTCCATTCATCTTTCATTATGAGTGATTATTACCAGTTTGAGTAAATAATATGATTTCTGTTGTTTATGTAACCTAATCAAATATCTCATTGAAAGAGACTCGACTAAAATGAAATTACTGCCGGGTTTTCAAATTTAATCAAACATTACTGTTTTTTTAATGAGAGTTTGTTAGAAAATTTGGAAATAATTCTGCTTCTTAGCCTGCCCTAATCCTTGTATTCTAGTTAAAATCACATAATCTATCTTACTAAATACTTTCATGCAAGGAGAAGCTTACCGTATGTTTGAATAGACTTCGTTAGAAACATTGTATCAGCTTGAAAACATAGTCAAAGCTTTTTTTTGGAAACTATCTGAACCTTTTACCCAAAGAACTCAGTGTTTTATCTAGTTTTAAAAGTATTAACATGAAACCTTGATAAATAGCATATATCATTACAACTCTGATTAACGAAATTATCGGTGATAAATCTATAAAGCAGAATATCTTGTTTGACTTAGATTACTTCCTGATTTATTAGATTACTTCCTGATAATACATTGAAGATAATTAGAATGAAGATTTTTCTTCTTAGACAGGAATCAGAAGGATGAAACGCATGCATGATTCAGACAGGATACCAAAGCAGCTATGCGGAATAGCAATATGATCATTCTGTATAAAACGCAGGTCGAACTGGGAAATAAATCTAAATTTTATATTAACAATTTAAGATAAGGGAATATAGAGGAAAGGAATGAAAACTCCATTGGCAGGATCCCTAACTGAGCAAATTCCTGCCTGAAACACCGACTATGAAAATTCCTGTCTGTTGTCGGTAGAAGTTGAATGACTATCATGAAAAGAAATTAAAGAAACCTGTAAATAAAATAAATTCAAATAATAATTATCTTTCGTGATATAAAAATTTCTTTTAGAGTTTAAAAACATTTCTCTCATAAACGATCGCTACAGTTAGCTGTAAATTTCCTTCCTTCGGGCTACTAGTTATAAAATTGCACGTTTCTTCATTATAAATGGTCTAATTAGAGTTCAGCCTTTTAAAGGCCGCATTAAAGTTCTTGAATTTATAGCAATTTCAATTCTTTTAGGAATTCAACCATTTCAATTCTTGAAGAATTTATAGCAGTTTATAATATACTATAAAATGGTAAAATTAGGGAAACTTAAAAGTTTCATGTCTAATTTACATCTAAAAATTCATATTCGAAACGAAGAATTTAATAAATTCTCTTTAGCCTATTATTTTAGATTCATTGACAATCTTCTAAATATATTTTATTCAAAATAATTTCAACTTCTGTAACTAGTGAATTGGACTTTTTTACAGCTTTCATATTTAAACACATTTTCTTTTCTTTTTTTTTAATTAAAATATAAGTTCTCACTATTAACTTATTCTCAAACACTTAACATTTTTTGGGGGGGAGGGGGGTGGGGCTGGTTGTGCATATTTTTCCCAGCTTTGAACTTTTATTTTAATAATTTCTCATGCTTGTATTCTTCTAAAGACGACAAATCAAATTTTCATTTCAGAACTTTCTATCTTACACAGAAATTAGAACACTTATTAGTGACAGTTTATATAGAAATTAGAGCTAACTATTGCTTCTCATTTATTTTTGTTTGATTTGAAATAATTTATTTAAATTCGAAACAAAATAGGATATAAAAGATAAAAGTTTTTTTTCACATTCTTAATTGGGTCAAGAAATTATATGCATCCTTAATTATCTAAGCTTTAACAATTTATTTTAATAATGTCCAACGAAGTCCATTTAATGTTTGTTTTTGTATTGCAAATAAGAAATTTTCAATTTCACAGGGATGGAAATAAGGTAAGATATAAAAATTTACCTCTTGAGTGTGACTAGCGTTCCCTGTCAATTTCTTGCACCTTCGTAATGCGTTCTCTAACCTCTCAGGTTCATCCTTGAGGAATCTAAAATCGAAAATTAGTTACGCAGGCTAACTGCACATCATTGAATAACAGATAACAGAAATAGACAATTTAAGTATGTTTATTAGGTCGATATATTTTAATTATTAGTTTTAAACAAAGAGTAGTGCGAAATGTTAGATTTAAGTAATAAAATTTCTAATAAAGTGGGTTATAGGCAGAAATATTCTTCCTGCTTCTCGGTTTTGTTTATTTGAAACCAACAGCCCACCCATTTAACCACAAGTGGCCCTATGGCTTAATTAGGTTTTCCGAGTTATAGGTACAAATACAGCCCATACATTAAAGTAGAATTCCTACATTTGATTGGATTATTATTGATATTACTTCATAATTTTTCTTGATACTTTTCTTGCCATGTAAAAATTTTATAAAATCCGTTCCACGTTAAAAGTTTCATTTATAATAAAATATTTCATTTTATCTTTTAAACGTGAGCAGGTCTCTACGAAGTGTTTAGTATCTCCTATTTCTTTGCAGTTATCGAGATTAGAAGATTAAATCTTTTAAATTACGTAGAAAATGGCCTCATGGCCCATTAAAATTTCATTTAAATCTATGTCATTGTATGTTTGTTCTTTTTTGATTGTTACCAATCTCATACTGCTTCCATTTTTGTTGGATATTTCCCATTTTTCTTTCCATAATTTGCAAATGTAATTCTTCATAAAGGTCACGGCCTTCCTCTTACACTCCTGTAGCTCAATGATTTCAGTGTCATTTTGTGCGTCAGTGATATCAGTGCCTCTTTGGCCGATCTGTCCGCCCTCTCATTTCCAATAAAACCTGAATGTGCTTTTACTCAGTTTAAATTACACTGCTGGCCACCCAAATTGCAACACCAAGAAAGACAAGAGATATCAAAACAAAATTTATTTAGTAGATAGCATTTAGTTGACCAAGTATCAAATGATTAAATTTATAGACTTCTGTGTGGTTCCTTCCAGAATCAGTAGCCAGAGTAGCCGCCATTGTTGGAGATTACCGATTCCACACGCCTCGGCATTGATTCAAAGAGACTTTGGATGTGTTCTTGGGGTACAGCAGACCAAGCAGCTTCCACACGTTGCCAAAGTTGATCTGGTGTGGCAGCTTGAAATGTAATCTGTGTCAATCGTTCAGCAACCATGAACCACATGTTTTCTATCGGCGAGATCTGGAGAGTGAGCCGGCTAGGGAAGCAATTCAATCTGGCGATTGACGAACAACCCTTGGACAATGCGGGACACGTGTGATCGCGCATTATCCTGTTGAAATATGGCTGCGGGCAAGCTCTGAAGGTAAGGAGGACAACTGGCTCCAACACCTCGCATATGTAGCGCTGGCTGTTTAAAGTACCGGCAATTAGAGGAGTGCGAAAGTGATATCCAATACCACCTCATACCATAATACCCAGTGCAGGACCAGTGTGGCGGTGCATAACGCAGCTGTTAAGCATCCTCTCTTCACGGTGTCTCTAGACTCGAATCCGTCCATCGTGGTGTTGCAGACAGAAGCGTGACTCGTCAGTAAAGACAATTTCATTCCATTCTGCCGTCCAAATTCTTTCATTGCACCATTGGCGGCGGAAACGTCTGTGGTTCTGCGTCAAGGGTAGACGAAGCAATGGACGTCTTGCGGGCAGACCACTCTGCTGTAAACGGCGTCGAAAGGTAAGCGCAGACGCTGGATGATGCGTTACAGACTGAATGTGCTGTGCTATGGTTTGTGATGTGACTGAGCGATCCGTCACTGCCATGCGCTCAATGTTCCTGTCATCACGGGAACTGGTGCACTGAGGTGGATGCGATCGAGCACGTCGGTCCGTCGTACCCTCCTGCATCCAACAATCATATCCGCATTATAGTTGTTTGGTTTCGTCCAAAATGAGTATCGATTTCCCTGAATGATAATCCACACTCTCAGGAGGCCACTATCTTTCCTCTGTCGAACTCGGATATTACTAAACCACGACCGCTGTTTACTAGGAGGCATAATTGATCGTTTTTTGAAAAAAACCACAAGAAAAACACAATTGCCGAACTTGAAATCGTCGAAAACTCCAAGCTTTAAATAGCGCTTTGAAGTGGCACCACAGGCGCGCATGATGTGCGTCTGCGCTGAAATTTCAATCATTTGCATATTTAACTTCCGCTAATGCATGTTGTAAATTTCATGTTATTTGCATGCTTCCTTCAGGGTGTTGCATTTACCGTGGCCAGCAGTCTAATTATGCCTGCCAGGAATTCAAAATAATGGTTTTTATATTTAATATTAAGTTCATTTGTCTGGTACGGAGAAGAGCATGCCTGTTGATAAATTGATAAATTGTTGATAAATTGTCGGTTTATATATTGATCGTGCTCCTGATTTTTAGAAAGCATTTTATCCATTTTAAAGCAAAGTAAATAACAGTGGTCTCCGTCTGAAATACTGAATTATATTCATATAATTTATATTTTTCACAGTCTGCGCTTTTGGGAGTTAGAAATTTCCATTAGACAAAATATTCTATAGAAAATCGAAAAGATAATTTTTTGAGAAACCTGATATAAGAACTTTTGATTTTAGGAGTGAAAATGTTAAAGCCTTTCACTGATGAATTTTGCCAAATAATGCCAAACATTAGAAAATGTTGGAAATGACATTTTTAGACAGAATTATTTGCACATGGATAATAAAAGTACAACTAAAGGTACATAAACATTTAAATTTTATTTATTAGGTCTATATGTATGAATTATAAGTTTTAAATAAATATCGATATAATCTTTACAAATAACATGCAGAACTACTTCCTGTGATCCTGCATAGATGAAACTGCCAAAAAACCTTTTACCACATTGTGATAGTTAAGTTTTCATTCGCAATATTGCGCCTATAAATGAAGTTGATCATTTAATGAACCTTCATTTATATAATAAAAATGAAATTTAAACGACTTTCAAAGTTAATTATTATTTTATAATTAAGTACAAATCGTCAGTTTAAAACAAATTTCATTTCTTGTTATAAAGTATTTTCTCCCTTCTTTTTGTATGCCTTAGTGGTGTAACGGTAGTACACTCGGCGAGTATTCGAGAGGTCAAGGGTTCGAGTCCCGGAGAGGACACTGCTTAATTTTCATGATCGCCTCCTTTAAAAAATCCTAATGACTCTACAGTGGCGTCTAAACAAGGGACGGTGGTGGATGATGATTCTTCACCACCACGATTTGGCGATTGGGTCCTGTAATCCCGTCACCCTTTAAAAGGGGGAGTATATAAGGGATTTTCTCCTTCCTCTTCCTGTATGCCTTCGTGGTGTAACGGTATCACACTCAACGCGTTTTCGAAAGGTCCAGGGTTCGAGTCCCGAAAAAGACACTGCTTAATTTTCATAATCTCCTGCTTCAAAAAATCCTAATGACTCTACATTGTTTTCCAGGACAACCTAACAGCAAAAAGTGCATATTAATTGAGATGAAACAATCATTAGACAAAATATTCCAGAGAAACTCAAAATGAAATTTTCTGGAAAATTTTATTGAAAGAATATTTGATTCCAGGAGCGAAAGTATTGAAGTCTTTCACTGCTAAACATTATGAAGCAATATTAGAATATTAAAAATCGTTAAAAGGCGACTTTCGGACAGAATTATCGTTTCCACATTCTATATTCCAAATTTTCTAAAAGTTGTAGAAACAATAGACGCTGATTTTTAATGTTGGTCTAAGAATAAAGAATGCAAACACAGTTGTGTGCATAGCGTCTAAAATAATGTAAGTAACGAAACATTAAAAAATAAAATTCTGCATACATCGTTATGATAAGAAAATAATTTCTTTTACTAGCATCATAACATTCTGATTGTAACAGCATTTATAGCCTGAAGATGAATAATTTAAAGCAAATGGCTTAGACAGAATCATTATTTTAATATTATTAATATATTTATAAATTACAAAAGACGAGAAATGCTTTGGAAATTTTCAGAAAGTATGTTTCCTTCCAACATTTAGATTTTTAAAACTAGGGAATGCATTTTAAACAGCTGAAATGTCTTTCCTCTTTCAAATTCCAGTTTCCTGATGAATATCCTTAAAGGAAATCTGTGTGTTTAGCTTTTGGCTGCACTGTCATGTTCACTATTCTTATAATTTAATATAAAGCGCTTTAATGCTGCTTGCTCTTTTTCACAGATATTCGGAGTTAAATTTTTGCAATACTAGCAACGCTGCAAATTTTACAGTTTTGCTAGTATTTAGTAGTTGTATTCTCAAATGGCAATGCGATTCCAGGGGCAAATAAATCAAATATTAATATTGATTATTTAATTAAATTTAAAATGTCTCATAGAAATTATGGGCAAATACTGCGTTGATATGAATATCATAGTCACCAACCTTGAAATCTGAAAAATCCGGAGATTTCTGCCAGAAAACCAGGAAAAATAGGAAGGTTTTCACGCTGCGCTCTATTTTAAAGGAATTCAAGACTGACTTAAATTCACTTTATAATGCTTCAGGTTACTGGAGTAATTGTAATACATTTCTGATGTAAAATATATTAGCATTTAATTACTTATGCTAAATTTTATGTTCTTTGGATAATTTCATTTTGTAATTTTCTTACGTTTTCATACTGAGAAAATCCGAGTAGGGAAGGAAAGCTTTTATTTATCAAAATATTTTTAAATACTGCCAAAATAAAAATAATAATTAATCTACATAGCAGGTGTGTAGATGAATTTAATAATGTACCCTGAATTAAAGTAAAATAAAATTCAACGATCACTGCGAAAAAGAATGGGACAGTTCTATATCTCCTGTTCTAACGGGCCGATTGACAAAATTCAACTTGCGTTTTTTATGCCTGGAAACCGCGCCTTAGGATATGTATTAGATTTATATTTAGCACTGTTTTAACATAGGTATTTTGACACAAAATCGGACTTGAAATGACATACCAACTTTTTTCCATATTTCCATTCTACGACTCAAATCATGCAACTGCCAAGTTTTGTAAAAATCACACAAGTAATTCTTAAAAAATTAGCTCTCAAAATTTTAGCTCCTCCATGTTAATTGAATTTGGCATATATTTATTAATATCTTTTTTTTATTAAACTTATTTCATTTCCTTTCATATTTTGAAATTTAGGTTCATTCCAATTAAAATTTGTATTTTAAAATAATTTTTATAAATTTTTCGAAAACCATTTTGAATTGTAATCTGTAAAAGTTTTACCCTCATCTTAATGTAGATGTATTTCTAAGCATCACTAAAAAATTAGAGTTTTTTATTCAAAATTTCCTGAGATATAAGTAAATTTACGTATTGGCACGTTTTGAAATTTGGCATATTTGTTATAAGCGATAATAACGCCAAATGTGATTTACGCACTTTCTTAAAATTATTTGAAAGTATGAAGGATGACTTTTTACTGCTCCTGTGCAATGAAAAAAAGGAAAGAAAAATAGGCTGCTATAAATTAATAAGTTCGCCAAGTTTTCTTGGCGTAAACTAATAAAAATACGCCAAGATAAATTTTTTAATTTCTCCTTAAATCTCTCACCAAAAATTAAAATATTCAATATCTAGGCATAATTTGAGTCGTAGAATTAAAATATGGAAAAAATTTGGCATGCCATTTTAGAGAAAATCCGATTTTGTGTCAAAATACTTATATTAGAACAATGCTATATATAAATCTAATATATGCATATCCTAAGTCGCACTTTCTAGACATGAAAAACGTAATTTGAATTTCGTCAATCGGCCCAGTAGAACGGAAGATATAGAATTGTCTCATTTTTTTCCGCAGTGTACATATTAGCATATTAAACAATGCTTGAATCTTCATGTAAAAGTTAATAGAATAAGATAACACAGATTCAAAATAATTTAATTAATAAAATTAATTATAAAAAGACCAATAAGATATAGTAAGAAAAAATTGCATTTAAATAATTAATAAGAAAAATTGTGTTTAAAATCACTAGAGGTGGGGAATGGAATTTGCACAATTAAGTTTTATTAATTAAATAAATTTCACTGATTGTTGGGAAACATTTTCCTTAATAAAGGTTAAATTTGGGGCATAAAAATGGAAGATTAGGTGATCTATTGGAAGACTGGAAGATGTAATGCACAACCAGGAGAGTTGACAGTTATGTAATGTGACTGAAACAATTTCATATTATTGGCAAGTATACCAAGTGGTGATAGCTAGGTATTCGTGTGCTTTAAATTAATCTTAACGAACTGAGAAATCTTATTCATATCAGGCACAGATTTCGAGACGAAAATATTTGTAGAATTGCTGTAATACTTGGAGATGTGTAACTATAATCGAGATATTTTGTCACGCAATGCAATCCCTGCGAGTTCTAAATTCTGCTGCCCGGTGCTTCCCAAAATTCTAAAACGTTTGTAGCACTGTGCGGTGCACCAGTTGCACCGGTTCTGACGCCGGCACTATAACCGATACAAAAGATGTTTTAGAATTTCTGGAAATTGCTGTGTCTGAAGATGCAGAACAAATAATTAATGTTATGTTGTATAGACAAGTACTGGTATGTGTATTTATCTGCGCCGTTTAGCTCAGATTCTTAAATTAGGCGAACTCAAATGTTCTTACAACTCTCTAACAACATTAGTATAAAATGTAACTGAGAAATTTCAAGACGGCATGCTTTTCTACTATTAGGAACAAAATAGTATCAAGTCACCTAAAGTGATCAGATATTCATTTATTATTAAGTTCTGAAAGGTAGTTAAAATAGAAAATGATTATCCTTCCTAAAATTCGTTTTCCAAGTATTAAAAATTACAAGGGAAGAAAAACCGTATCACGAATCTAAAAATACCCTTACTTTTCTTCTGAAATAAAATCAAAGGAAAACCTATTATTAAAAAACCTTACAAATGCTTTTGAAGAGAAAAATGTTAGAGTTGGTTGCGTTAAATTTAGAATTATAATCTATTTGAATTATCTACCATCTTCAGAATTTACATTTGAGACAAATTATTAAAATAGTACAAACGCTTACAGTATACATATTATGACTCTATCAATTCTTACACACGCAATTTAATTAATCAGGAAATCTTCAGTAATGCAGTAGGGTACTTCTCCTGCCTTCTTAGCATGCCTTCACGGTGTAATGATCAACATGCTCGGCGCATATTCGAGACGTCGGAGGTTCGAGACCCGGTGAGGGCATTGCACATTTTCATCTCTCCTGCTTCAAAGATAAATCTAATGTCTCTACAGTGGCCCCCGAACTAAAAGGGGTGGTGATTGATGATTCTTCACCACCAGGAGTTGGCGAACGGGTCCCCTAATCCTCAGTCGCCCATTAAAAGATAAGTCTTCTTAGCATACCTTCGTGGTGTAATGGTCAACACACTCAGCGCGTATTCGAGGGGTCCGTGGTTCGAGTCCCGGCGAGGGCACTGCTCATTTTTCACTTCTTTCTACTTCAAGTTAATCTAATGTCACTACAGTGGCGCCCGAATTAAAAAAGTTGGCGGATACTGATTCTCCACCACCAGGATTTGGTGATTGAGTCTCCTAATTCCCAGTCCTAAAAGGGGGAGTATATAAGGTATTTTTCCCGCCTTTTTAGTATCGCGAGTATTCGAGAGGTCCGAGGTTCGAGTCCCGGCGAGGCATTGCACATTTTCCATGTCTCCTGCTTCGAAATAACCTAACGTCTCTACAGTGTCGTGTACTTCGAAATTTAATACTTTAAGAACAATAGAATCCTTGTTTAGCTACAATTCTAACATATAGTTTTGCAGAATTGAGATTACGCCATTTATCACAATAACATAAAGTAAACTATATTAATACTACACGAGATTTATAATGAGAATCAAGCGCTAAATTATGTTGTGAGTTGTACATTGTTAAGAACATTAATATTGATTAAGGTTTTACGTATGGCGTTACAGATTTTAACTGGCGATTTACTTTCTGTTAATGTTCTGAAATTAACAGACCTTTTCTTACTGCACCAAAACCTTTTTTAGCTCTACCTCAGGTTCTTATTTATAATATACTGTGGCTCTCATCTAAGAGAATTTTTAATTAAGAAAAATGTTTATAATTTAAAATAAATTTAGGAAATTTCATGGCATACAGTTTGATCTTTGACTATCTACTTGAAAGGCAAAGGAAGATTTAGCTATTACTCTGAATAATACGATTCCAGTTCTTTCCTTGCAATTAATTTTTTCTTAGTCTGGTATAACTTGGTCTATGCAAACGTTTTTTTTTTTACAGATTTCATTCAAAATAAAGCAGTATTCGTAATCAAAGTGATATAAATCTATAATATATTTTTGATTTATATTTTGAGTAGCAAAGTATACGTATATTGCTTTACGCTTACAAGAAATGAAATATCTTCAGTTCTTAGTCGTGTAAATAAAAATGATTTTAATATTGCAATTATCTTACTTCTCTTCTCGAACAACGACCTCCATTTCTACTGCCATGATGGTCTTAAGGCTCTCTTGTAATGCAGGGAACCGCGCTGAAAATATGACATACTATTAGACTGAAAGATGGTTTCCAGCCATTTCCAGCCTAATGCTTTCATTAATGTAGATTAATCAGAATTTGATAACATAGATGTTATATCAAATGTTATAGAATCCATGATAATCATATGAAATTTTTTAAATGAAATGTTCTTTGAGATTCAGATATTAATGACGTAACAAAGCAAAATTATTGAAAAACGCTGCATCAGTTAATTTAGTTATTTCATTCATAAGTGCAAGACTATGATTTAAAATTTGAATGAAATATTTGAAATGTATTGCTTTACCTTTCAGTTCAGCTACAGCTTTGCTTGCCCTGCTGAGGACGAGTGCCATTCCTTCCACATCGCTGAGGTTGACGCGACACTTCCGGTTAATGACATTCCCCCTCAGCTCCTCCACCTGGCTTTCTAGCTCTCTGCAGGACATACGTATATATTTCAGCATCTACACACAATTTCTATATCAGAGGATAACCTAAACAGATTACAAATGTCGTAAAAAAATTGTAAGCGTTTACAGCAGTAAAGAAGTTGCACTCCATTGCAGGTCTGAAAAATCTGCCACGATGGAAAACGTTCCTAGTATTGTAGCCAAGTCTACTTTTATATTGATGTAAACTAGTCATTTTTCAGTTTATTTATTATTTCTTATATCAGAACTAATGACGCGCAATGACATTTTTGCAATTTTGAAACGTTATTTTAAAGTGAACGCACAAGTGCGTAGCATTATTAATAATATGAAAATGATTAAAACGTAAGAACTTGTGTGATTTATTAAAAGCTATTTCCTAATTCGTTATTATTATTAAAAGCTATTCGTAAATAAAGGGATAATAATTTATATGGATTTAGCATTTAAGGTTTATCTTCAGTACATTTCAAAGTACTTCATTGCTGATGAATTTTAGGAATGTTAAACAGTAAGGGAAAAAAAAAAAAGATTGTGGAATTGTAAATAATGAATAAAGAATAAAGAAATAGCATCAGTATTTTCAGTATGCAAACTAATTAGCAGTAGATTTTTTAAAATTAAAGATAGGAATACTTTAAGTTTCCTAAAAAATGTTAAGAACTTTTAAGAAATATTTTGCGTAAAAATAAGAGACCTGGTTTAAATAGAATCCTTCCGAAACAGTTGACAGTGGTTGCTAAAAGCTCTTCAGTTTAAAATTAAACGCACTTGAAAACACTTCTGCTTCATCCGTTAAGAGTGTTATTTATATCTTGGAAAAATTTGACTGCTACATTCGATTGATAGGAAAACAATGTTAATGAAAATAATAATTACTCAAATGTCAATAGCATTACATTTTTATTACATTAACATTATATAGCATAGCAGCCCGCATTTACGTGTTACGACAAAATAATCAATATACACAGGGTAATATTACTGTATTAATCAACTCTGGTCATGTTACCAATAGATCAAATAACTATTCCACTTTTTGTGTGATTATTAAGCATTTTGATACAAATAAGAGCAAATACAGAAGCTATATTTCGCAAAATTTAACTTCTAAACACATTTTTTCTGCGAGTTTTATTATAAAGGTTCAATAATCTGGGAAATGTACAATTAAATAAATCAATTAGATTTGTAAAACACGCCATTATCATTTTAATACGCGTTATCATTGGATTTTATTGATCTAAATCATTCATAAATAAATGGAGCACTTTTCCCCTGCTTTGCCTTAAATAATTCTTCAATATAAGGTATTGGCCATTTTCAATTTCACACAGAGTTCTGAGTGCACAGGTTTTAAACAATTTCTCTCTAGATTAAAAGTAGCTTTTAATATGTGAGAAAATTTCTTCGCATACATAAATTGATCAAAGAGGCGAAAGCAGAAAAAACGCAGCTTTCTTCAAACAACAAATTTCAAATATTTGTTTAGGTGCAAATAACTTTTAATTTTTCTAAATTTCCAAGTTTTACTGCTCATATCACTAATCTCTATTGCTAGCAACTTGCTTTTGAAGGAATAAAGAAATATATAATATTTAAAAAAGATATTTAATTAAAAATATATGCTGCATTTAATTAAAAATTCAATTTTTATGAGATCATAATCATTGCATTTCAGTTCACTCAGCATGCCAATGAAAACCGTTTCGAGTGTCACATAAGCATACATGTTTATGTGCCATGCATGCTTATGTGGTGATTGTGACTTGCATGCTTATATAACGGCCCTAAGCTTTCTTGCTCATCCCTTTAAAACAGCCCTAATCCATTCTGTGCATATGGATTCTGTGCATATGCATACGCATAAACACTAAGTATGAAATGAACTGAATGAGGAATATTTTCCCTTACAGGAAAGCACCTGCAATGGAGTGTTTTACAATAGAAATGTGTTTAGGAAATTTTTCAAATATTTTGGGTTCTTACGTTATTATATCGGGCCACTTATAATTCGCACGATTTAGCAAGTATTGCCATTGTTAGAGACGTAAGATGTTTATCTTTCATGTAGACTGGGAAGTACCTGCTTTCTAGAATATTGCCATTTGACGAGATTTAACATTTTTATTTGTTTTTCATATAAGTGCGTTGTTTAATAATTTAAAAATTCAAAAGCTATTTAACTTTTTAATAATTTATACTTTTTTATGTATAATTTTAAAAAATGCATTTAATAAATAAAATCTAAAACGCATTAATTTATAATATATGCAACTGATGTTGTTTATAATCATTTGTAGTAGTCTGGTAATTAATGAAGAATATTTCTAATGCAACATATTACAAGCTGAAGTATGTAATCATTCAGCATTTATTTATAAAGTCTTCATTATTTTAAAGCATCTACCGTTGTCTGGTTTGGCTTTGTAATGAATGGAATATATGATTTTTCACTATAAGTAAGAAGATATAAACCGCCAAACGATTAATTATCTTTACACTTAAAAACTCTGTTTCAATTTTATTGACCAGTGATGTATGACACAGTAAAGAATAATTTTAAAAATATAAAAAAAGTGGATCTAATGAGCATTTTTTCTTGTTTGCCTTATTTTTATTAAAATATATTAAGATTAAGTTTTTAAAGTTTTATATTCTTTACTAGGAATGATATTATTAAACATAATTTGCAGCTCTACATAATGACTCAGTTTGCTGCTGTTTCAATAACTAGGAATAATTATTTTGCAAAGGCTGAACCAAAAATTGAAAATAGTATCTTAAAACCTTTATCCTCGGTTATTGGATAAAAGTACTTTGAACATGAGCACTTACAACAGGTCTTTTTCTAGATGATTGACATCTTGGCGATAAAGTTCTTCCTCCTTAGACACCTTGAGTCTTTCTGCGCACACGTGCTCCTCTCCCATCTGCGCAGCAGCCAACATAGTCTACAAAGAGTTCAGCAAGTAGAAGTTTTACATACTAGTTAAACCATCGCTAAACAAACATAGAGAAAAAGAACTAAAGCTATGCCTATTTTATGGATTTAAAATAAAGTTTCATAATTCTATTTATAATTAATATCTACAGTTGGTAGCGTTGGAGTCTACAAACCAGCTTTCCCGTACAAATTTAGACTTTTTAAGCTAAAATGTATTTTAAATTTGCTTGTGCCGTTATTTTCCCTGTTAATTGTCTGAAGCTAATAGAAAGTTCAGAATTGATTTCTTTAACGCTTTTCCTTTAGCCATAATTTTATTTATCTACATTAATTCAAATGTGAAATAAAAAATGGTCGCCTCTTGGCCGTATGAGAACCTGCACCTTTCAGGTTCCTAGCCAGATCTCACTAATTAGAGAATCAATCAGGACTATCCAATAGAATTAGGAAAACAATGAAGATTGTAGCTATTTTAAGTCGAAATAGATTCGCTTTCAAGTTTAAGAATAGATAATTCTTAACAGACTTTTGATATTTAAACAGAAAAAAAAACCATGAAATTTCATACTTAAATTAAGAAATGGTATCTTCTCAAAAATAAAAATAGAATCTTTCTCAGACTTCATAGTATTTCCGCAATAACTGGACTCATCTTAAAAATTAAAGATTTTATTAAAGATAACGAGTATTTAAAAGCAATTTTGAGAACTTCTATGAAATGACAATAGTTATCTGATAACTCATGTTACAGTCTCAGCATATTTGGTGTGTATTCATATGACTAAAAGTAATAATTTTTAAGTAATAAAATATGTAACGCATTTCTTTTGATAGATTCAGTTTTCTACCTTGATTTTAAGGCAGGTTTCTCGAACGGTTTCCTTGGCAGTGATGGCCTGCGACTGCGCAATCCTCCTCAGGTTTCGCACCTCCAGCCTCAGGTCCTTCGTCTGTTTCCTCAGATGCTTCAGCTGACTGTACATCTCTGCGCTTACCCGGAACTCTAGGGAACAAAGAGACTGAACACTGGCGAAGGATGTTTTACAAATTATTCTTATTCTTCCTTAATTGAAAATCAGTTATTTTAACTGAAAATAGCATCTCAGTTGCATTTATATTGCGCTCTATTATCATCTTAATTTTCATAAGAAACTTTATTCAACCAAAATATTCAGTTCCAGCAGACAAATGTAACAACAAGAGTAAGAACTAATGCACACTGAATTATTTCCCGAGAAACTTAATAAATACTCAAAATATAACGCATATGAAATTAAAGTTTTAGCTATTTTTTAACCTAAGAACTAATCTTCCAAGACATTTTCTATATCATGGTACTTAGTTTAAGTTACCTTACACACAAAAATTCCATTTCTAGCTGTATGACTATCGACTGGCTTCTTCACAAATATTGAAGCATTCTCCCTCTGTGTACCTTTTCAGGATACCAAGCAAAATGAAATACGGTGTATAGGAATTTCGGCCAGAGATTTTCGTTTAACTCATATATTATGCTAAAATCTACGTTTCATAGTAACAGGATCAAAAGGAAAACAGACTAGGAGAGTAAAGTTTACTACAAAAAGACTAAACGTTTACTAAGAGTCATATAAAAACATGCCTATTTTAAAATTAAGTTTCTATTTTGTAGAAAATCACTCATTTCTCTTGTGCCATACAAAACGGTATATTGGTAAGAAAAGGGAGAGCGAACATGAGCACGTGCAAATCTAAGCCCATATGGCTGAATCTTACTAGACAAATTTGGTTCTTCGCCTATTCCAATAATTTTCTTTCGATGACCTACGACCTGTTGCTGTAATAACGAAGAAACATATTATTTCTATTTATTATTTCATGCTACAGAGAGTGTTTACTCATTTTTAGAAAGATTTCGAGGAAGTTTTAAGTAATGCTTAAATTGTAAGAAGTATTGTTTTAAATGTTCAGTCTGATAGCTTCAAACAGCCCTTTTTTAAAATAAATTGAAATCTTTTAACATATTAGAAAAAGCTGATCTCATTGAAGAAGGGATGCACCAGGATAAAAAAAGCAAGCATGAAAGTATCGTACTTTTCTGTTAAAACCATACCACTTGGCACGTTATTTATATGGCATATTTGCTGGGCGCCAGTTATCGCCAATTGGGTTTTATATCTTCCTTGGCGATAACTGCAGTTACATAATTTTCAAATGACGTTTTTCATCTAATAAATTAATTCTTTTAAAATGCAGTAGATTTCACGACTTGAGATTTTCTACGCTATGAGTAAGTGGTTATCTTGTTTCTTCAAGAAAGAGATATTCATCGCATACATACAGACATACAAAAAATGTTTAAAACACAATCGAGATGCGATTTTCTTTCATGAAGGGAAGAAAACGATGTTCTGAATACAATGGATCACGTTATTCGTTGTGTTACTACCATATGATTCATTTACTTATGGTATCAAAAGTTAATATATATTGGGACTTCCGCAACAAAAACTTGTTTCAAACGGATTACAACACAATGCTTGCTGACTGCAATAATAACATAACAGAGATATGTGTCAATTCGTTGTTATATCGTTCTAATGTTAAATCGATGGATGTTACAAAACTGGAGAAACTTATAAAAGCTTATTAAACAAAGATAAAAAGTAACATAGGTCGTGTTTTTCTCTCGCTGTGGGTTCTTGGTAGATTTTGCTTACTTAGAGAATGTTTCCTTGTTGCTATTCCCGAGCGTTCCCTTTAATCTAGTATCGAGCCGAAGCGTGGAGAGAGAAATAAGCCAAAATACGGCAGCTTGATGCAAAAATGTATGGTATGACTTTAATGGAAAAGTACCATAAGTATTTTTGGAAAATATAATAATAATTAAATTTAGAAAATTATGAAAAATTATTTATCCTCTCGTTAAATACAGGCTTTAAAAATCATCAAGAAGCATATTCGATTTGGCACAGGCTGAACAAGTAAAAAGGAAAGGAAACAAATTATCAAACTGGCCAAAGTGGTTATTGAATCAAGGATTTAAATTTAACAAAGAACATTCAATGTATAAAACGAATAAATACGCACTACCTTTAGTAGGGGGTGAAACCGAATGTTGTCTCTCGGAGAGGGAACTCGGTTTTGGGGGTGGGGCAGGTTTCGACCGGGGTTCGCGATCTGTAAGGAAAAGAAGAAATTAAAAAATAATGAACATTTTGAACGTCAAAATATTTAAAAACAATAATTTATCGGTTATAATATTAACTTGTTATTTTTTATTTATATAACTTCGCTTGTTACCTTTACATTCTAAGGAATTTTACTGGGTCGAATTAAAATTTTTCTAACAGAAGAAAATAAATTATTTTTCACATCCGGTGCAGAAGCTTTAAGAGAAACGTTTGAGCATAAATAATAACTTTTATAATTGAGACTTTAATGAATGAAAAATACAAAAATATCTCAATTCTAGCAGTTACCATTTCCTTTTCTGAATTAAAATGAAATGCATGTCAGTAAGTTTATTCAAACTTAACTGAAAGTTTCCATTATAATATGGAGAAAAATTGTTTGAACGTATTTAAAATTTTTAATCTTCCAAAATTACAAAATTGAAATGTAAGATTGATATTTCTTGCATTCTGATGTTTAACGAGGAACATTTGGCTGTTATCTAATACAGTCAAAAGTCGTTAATCCGGACTCGTCGGGACTTCGGCGATTCCGGATTATCGATTTTTCCGAATTATAGATCATCAGTTTAAATCTCGTAAGATGGCATGCAGAAATTCTAAAATTAAAAATATGAAACCGTAATTTATGAAATAAAGAACAATTATGATCTAAAGGGTATCAAAATTTACAAAAAAAAAAAGAGCTTAATATTTATTTGTTTACTTTATTAAACATTTCTTTCAATGTAAGTTGTTTAAGTTGCTTCGTTTTATGTGATAATACTTTCTCTTTAATTCTATAAACAGACATAATTTCTTGTTCAGTTACAAAGTTCCGCTGTTCAAGTCCCGTTAATTGCTGTGCCGAGAATACCGAATAACTTTTCAATCGAAATTTTTTCGTTTTCATTAACCTCTCTGTCACATTCTTCATGTCTTTATCCATTTTTTGCAACAATTCCACTTTTTGTTTGATGGACATCGAAACATACTTTCGTTTTGCACGATCCTTTGGGAGCTCCAGAATCGGAAATTCTATTTGACATAATCGAAAGTTCAAGTTTACTTTTATAATATTGTTCTTACAGTCTGCAAAAAATAATAAGTAGGATCCAATTCGAAGATTAATGAACAACGCAATCATCAACATTAACTGAAATAGATAATTAGATAATTTTAGCTTATACCGTCCGTTATACATAAAACGCGCACGCAAAAACGTATTCTGTGCTTGCACACGCATATGCGCAGTCGTAAAAGGTCGTACGCGCACGGGTAAACGCCTATGCGCATGTGTCAACGCGGCGCCTGCGCAGAAAGTTTTTAGCTTTGAGGTCCGGATTATAGATCATTCCGGATTATGAGTGTCCGAATTAACGACTTTTGACTGTATTTATTAATACCCTCTTTTCATAGAAAAGTAATGTTACATGCATAAAACTTGTGATAATTAAAAAGAGGATGTACTTTCTATTGAAAAATGAGAATTCTCGCTGATGTGTAAACAGCATTGAAGGCGTATTTGACCATTTCACAGGATGACTCAGCTTAAGCAAAGGGTATTTGTATGAGGAAGCTTGGATATCTTTGAACAAAAAGTGATCGCATTTTCCCGCCTATCATATCACTTTATTCGTTAGACTGTTCTTCTTGTCAGAATGGTTCTTCTGGATTAAAATTTTCAGGTAATTCAAGTGAACCATAATAATGCAATGGAAAAGCTATGACAGAAGCTGAAAGAGTGAAAGAGGAATTGTACCAATGCTTTCAGGAATATCAGGAACATTAGAGCGAGTGTGTATACTCAGATGGATATTACTTTAAAATAGTAGATTAATAATACATTTTTTACGTTTCGGATAATGTAACTGTTCTATAAAAATTTTTCGGAAACTTTTTGAACATAGGAGTGTACATAAGAAAAAAAGTGAAGTAACTATTAAATTTCAATTTGAAATTAATATCTTTTGCTAATGTACATAAAATTGTTTTTAATGAATGGCAAAAAGACAATAATAACTGAACAATTTAAGAAAATTAAATTTCGCTAACATTTAATTTTGAGTCACTCCTTTATTTACAGCAGATAGTTGAAATTAATAAAATTGCCCAAATTAACCATAAATAGAATTATAATTAATAGAATAGCATAAATTAGTATTACTAGAATAGCATTGCTACTTACGATCTGTCTGTACAATATTATCATTTTGATCGATTCGCTTTGAATAAGGAATCAATATTAAACGTTACAAAAATATTTTGCTATTATCATATTCATTCCCACATGTACATAAAGTTTATATTGTTTTATATAAAGTATAATCATTAATTAAACATTAGGCAAGGTTTTGGATTAAAGAAGAACAAAACAAATAAGTATGACGTAAAATAAAGAATGTTAAAATCATAATTAATATATTATTTAACTATAGTTGAGAAGACATGTAATTATAGTTTATTAGCAATATGCATGCTCACTGTACTGTGCTATATCTACAAACTAAAGAGGTATCATATGTAAGAATTTTTCTACTTGTAAGATTCCTTTAAAATGTAAAATCATTTTTTGTGTCACGCTGTCGATATGTTTATAATCTTAATACTTTTGGCATGTTAAAAAAGACTATCTTTTGCATACTTAATATTTAAAAATTTTGTGATACAACACTTTTATTAAAACTTGACGATTTAAACTATTAAAGCTTACTAAAGAGTAAGTTTATTACAGAAAGTACATGATTCGTCCAAGTGTAACATTTTACAAATATTTCTATTATGTACTTGCGACTCTGTAATTGCATGATGAAATATTTCCCATTTTTGCTATTGTTATTACTAAAAGTATTTATTGTATTACTCAAAATCATTTAGGATACAATTTATTTTAGGACATCCAGTTTCTGAAATTGAATAGAATAAGAGTATTTACGCTTATTTTATTCTTTTTAATAAATTAATAATATTCATTACTTGGTGCTATAATATCGCTGAAGAAGAAAGCCCGGATACGAAACAGTCTTCTAAATTTTATTTATGTTCCAGTGCATTTTCAGATTTTGATTTAACAGCTGTAGGATTCCTCACTTTGTAAATGATAATTTACAGTTGAACGTGAAGAATTTTAAAAACTGCTAAGCGAATAATAGCTTAAGTTCGTGTGACAAGAAACAACAAGATGGAAGGGTAAATAACCCTTTATTATTCAAATAAGATTTAACAGAACTCCATCTTGGAGCCGACACTTGCGTTTAAACTTAAGAGGCTAAGAAATAAACTAAAACTAATCTAAACTAAATAGATATAGCCGAAGCTATCAAGATTCTAACCGAGTTGGTCCCGTAACGCTAATTGACTGCTAAGCTATCAAGGGCCTGAGTACGGCCGAGAGTAATAACAGCTTTGAGAGAGAGTAGCCAACAAGGCAGCCGCGCGCAAATCAGAAACTCTGATTCTCTCTAACACAGCAAGTAGAACTTCGCGGTTAAATACCGCTTTTCCTCATTATGTATTCAGACATGATCCCAAAACTACGTTCTGGCCGGAAGTAGTAAGTTGAAGTTAAGAATCGACAGGAAAGGAACTTTAACTCAAAATGTAACTGTTAATAAAATTAACATAATCCTTACACAGCATCTTCAATGCAATCTTTCCAAACGTTTTGGACTCTTACCCCCATTATTCTATACTATTAAGAGATTTGGCGAGTGTTGCCAATGTGCGAAACATTAAACTTTTAATTCAGTTTTCACACGGTTTCACAAGAAACAGCATAGAAAAGAGAAAACAGTTCTATGATTAGCGTTGGGTAACAAAATGTACTTTATGAGTCATTTTTATTTCCGCCACAAAATTCATTACATTTCGTATTTATAATTATATTTTCAAATAGCAAGATGATAAAAGACAAAAGTAGAGAAAATACCTGCATTTGTGACTTTTACTGTAGGAGGGTGTAGCTGAGTGGGAACAGAATCCACATCTAAAAAAAAAAAAAAAAAAGAATACATTTGAAAAGAAATAAAAAAATATTTTGAATGCATTCTTTAACAGATATCCAAAATGTTATTATCTAAACTTAGGAAAAAATTCAAAGAAAAAACATGACTACAGTCTTTTGAACTTTAGTAGTAACAAACTGGTTAAGATTTTCAGAGTGAAGTGTGCGTACTGAAATTTGTGTGTACTGCGCTTGTAAACTTTGAGACATGGGCTCATAAATATTCAATTAACAATTATGTTCAGTCTGTGACTGAAATACGTAGTCGTGTTTAGAAAAAAGCATTCCCTTTATTCACAACAATGTATGAAATTCGTATCATTCAGCATTTGCATGACTTATATCGCTGACCCTATTCATATGACTGATATCGCTGACCCTATATATTTTTATTCCCTTATCCACATGTTACAGCAACTAACAATTCCATAAAGATGGATTTCATTGGTAGATAATACATTAATTAAATAACGACACACATCATCAAAGTTTTTAGACACAAGCATGAGCAAACAGAATGATAGGAAAAAAACTGTTTTTCAGCGTCCTTTCATGAGAATATGAAAAGTTATCTGTAATCTAAACGACCTTGCACTTTTCTTAGCTTATTAAATGGTATTGTTCTGAAAAAGCAGTTTTCAGTACAATTTCAAATTGCTTCTGTGAATGAAGATATTCTCAGTAGACATCGTAAACATAATTTCTAATAATGTTTCTACCATTATTGTATCGAAGATGATATATATAGAGTGTTTGTTATATTCAATATAACAAATTATTTTATATTCAATATAAAAAATTTTTAATGAGGTGGGCGGTCATTTGTTTTAAATGTGAGAAGAAAAGAAATTAGAGAAGTTTAAAAAGTATTAAATAACTTTTCTTCTTAACAGAAAGAAAAAAAAGGCATAATTACATGCAGAACCATGACAAGACATATGCTATTAAAATTATGTATTGACGAAAAAGAAAGAGCAAAATTAAGAAATTTGTAATTGTTATAATGAAATTTAAATTATTTATTGAAATCAGACGGATTCTATTTTCATTAAACTTTTAAGTACAAAAGTAAACATTAGTTTTTCATCATTTATGTTTTATTACTCAATTCAAAACGATGAAAGTTAACGTAAATTGAGATAAATTACTAGGTAGTTGTCGTATTAAGTTATTCCTATTTAAATCAAAATTTATTTGTTTCCAATTTAATGTTTCATGAGCAAAAATGTTTTATATTGGCCATTGACTAAACATTTCCTGTTTATATGAACTGTTACTTAAGTAGGCAAATAATAATATTTAACAGAAGCTGAAGATCTAGAACACAGATGATTAAAAATAAAAGATGAAGCAATTAAAAACAAATGAAATACATTAACGACATTTTAATACGAGAAAAGTTAATTATATAAATCAATGCTCTTCCAGATTAGTTTGAAACTAAACGCAAAATTGTGGTGCACATTACAAAATGTACAGAAATGCATATTATAACAATTAACAAATTTAAACGAAAATGAAAAGAAAATTATATTGAGAAACTCATGCAGCGTGTAAATTTATAAAAATGTGTTAAAAAAGGAAATTCCCATACGCAAACTGCACTCATGGTATACTTTTATGAGCACATTTCTTGTTTGGACCAAACTGCAAACTGCTTAGAGAACAGCTGGATAAACCGAATTTACACATTTACACATACTACATTATAAACAGAATAATAATGTTCAGTTAAAAATCAGATTGTAAAATTTTAAGCAGATGAATAGTGCACGACTTCTTTTGAAGCTATTTTATGTTAGCACAATCAGAATATCAAGTATCTATATCACAACATCTGATTGAAACACATATACGGATTTTAAGTTAGGCAGATATAAAAGAATAGTCCTTTATTTTAGGAATTTATATTTTTTATGCATAACCTGTTGCAGAGAAATATGTTAAACAGATATAGTTTATCTTACTTGAGGTGGGTTAAAAGTGTAGCATGCCTGTGTACCACTAGAGAGAAAGAACAACTAAAACCAAAAGAAATTGCTAACAGCGAAAGACATATTACAGTGATGAAAATAGGATGGCTACCCAAAACGTGAAAGGCGGACAGAAAGCAGAGAAAGATGGCTACTACAGAAATGAACACAACTTGCTGATAGCAAAAGACTTGGGAGACTGGTTATCCATGGAAGATGAATAATACTGGAGCAATGGGAGTGAAATAGCGATGAAAAGATAATAGCTATTAAAGCAACAGAAGACAATGACGACACAGAAAGGAAAGACTCTCTAATTATAATAGGAAAGAAAACCAGTTGTAACTGAAGTAGCATACTTGGCGCTGCGTTTACAATTCGTTAAAAATGGTTTACATAGTAGTTATATATTACTCCTAAAATATTTTGATAAAATGCGTTTCTTCTCAGTTTTAATGAGCTAATAATAAAAATATCAAGTTCTGTTGCAAACTTGAACTCTCTAATGATATAATAACCGTTTTCTGAAAATACATACTGCTTAGTTAGATTATATAGCCGCTATACAAGAAAATGTTGAGAAAAAGTTTCTGTTTTTGCCATTATTAAAGGTCTACCGAAACCTAAAGAATGCAGGACTATTACAGGACACTACAAAGGTAGGTTGTCTCACGTCCAATGAATATTGTTAGATGCTATTGTTTCTAACAGGAAGAAATTTACCTAATTGTTTTCAACCATATAGTTTCAATATTTCAAGAAATTGTTTAGAAAAGTGCTTTCCCTTTATTCCAAATAAGCAATTTCAGAATTTGTCGCAAATGCTCGAAAATACATAGGAAGAGCATTTATGCTTAAGCAGCATGATAATAAAGATCACATAAGTTTTCGTCATTATTTTGCTGTGTTTGCGAACAGTTCATAAAGGTTTTTTTTTATGTGAATAAGGATTTAAATTATTTCGTATCATAATAAAGGAAAGGTTTTACCTGAGGAATGCTGGCTGCGAAGGGATAAGGAGGACTTGATGGCTGGTTTCACGGGTCTTTCGGCTAAAAAAAGAACTTATGGCTTACATACGTTAGTTCAAAAAAGAAAATAAGAAGACAACGGAATTAGGAGGCTTCGGCATTGTATTTACGATTCTTTCTTTGCAAAACATCACTGAATTATATTAGCACACCGTTATTTGAAAGTCTTAATTTGAAACCATATACAAATGGAAAGGGATTATAATTTTTGTTATTGAAAAGGTGAGAAAAAATTATTAGAGTGTCGTAAAATATTTTCCAAACACTCTGTATAGCGTGCTCAACATTTAAGAGGAGTAATTTCCTATGTAAATAAAAAAGTATATTATTATTTAAAATTTTACAGTACCAAATAGTTTCTTTTATTTTCGAATCATTACTAAGCAACACTTATTCATAAAATGTAAACATACAGAGTTGCTAATTTTATATTATTTATGACATAATATAGCGCTATAATTCATCATAACACTATACGTCATTATAACACTATAATGAATTATAGTGATAACACTAAAATTCCTTATATTGCTATAAAAACAAGCAGTTCCAAGCCATACAAGCAAGGCTATGCTCAAATATTAAACTACTCCCATAATCTCCATCTTTCTACAAATTATCTTCATTTAAAACTTATTTAAACTTTTTAATAATATGCTTTTAAATTTAGTGTTTTTCAGTTAGCAAAATTAGAAGAGGAAAGCTATAACTATAACCTCACTATGTTAAACATGTTTGCGTATCTGTATATCAAATTAATTGAAACGTCTTTTCTTACAGAATGCAGCTGACACAACAAATGCAGTAAATTTAAAAGCAATACTAGTTGGTTGCGCTAGCAATGTTTTAGCAAGATATAAAAATTAAATTGAAAAATTGAGTTATTATTATTTAATTTAATTTTACGGTACTCCAAAGTCAGATAAGTTACGAAATTGAGAAATCAGTCTGGTACCTCTTACGTATTAAATCAGATACTTTGCAAAAATTTCTCATGTTAACCACTGGTTGGTGTTTCTGGACAAATTTGACTAATTTTTATTTTTCTCAATAACAAAAAGTGAGAAGGAAATTCCTTATTTAATTACTATAACTGCGATAAACAACATTTTAAAGCAAATAAAGACATAGAAGCATAAATTTGCTACCCATTTTCTGAAAATAGCTCCAGCTGTTATACTCAAAACGTTAAGAATATAGAAGTGTATAAGAAAGTTATAGAAGTGTTAAGACTTTCTTCTCTATTTCTCGTTTGAATAAAAATACTTATTTTCATTTAAAATCATTAACTTCAGCTAAATTACAGCTTCTTTCTTTGCATGAGGAGGCCTATTTTGTAACCATTCTGTTGTATTCTATTAAACCTATAAGGAATTATAGTTTGAGCTTGATCTCGTGATGTAACTGGTAGCAGGTGCAACTAGCAAACGGAGCATATGTGGTTCGAGTTCCGGCTATAGCATTCCTGATTTTTTATACTCTCTGTTCCAGAAAGAAAAACTAATAGCTGTACAGCGCACCCGAGTAATATGTGGTGGACGATAATTTATCACCACTTAAATTCTCGCAGTTCAGACCTCAATTGCTTTTAAATTGGGAAGGAATATGAGGAATGATCGCTCTTCCCTGCGCTTACTCTAGTAATGTAACTGGTAGTACGTCCTTGTAACAAACGGAAGATCCGTGGTTCTAACCCCGACAAGGGTATAGCTGAATTTTTACGTTACTGGCTCCTATAAAAATCCTAATAACTCTATCAACTTATAATATTCTACATTTATTCTATATCTCTATACTTTAACTTTCGAAGAGGGAAACAGTGAATAGCAAAATGTGTAATTTTAATTGAAAATTAATTCATTTTAGCTTAAGTGTAGGCTGATTAAGTTTAATGAAATGCATAAATTGATTAAAAGCAACACGAAAATTTGTTTTTCAGTATTATATATGAAAAGCACTCTATTATAAAGAGAACCGAAATTCAGATATTTCAAAAACAGTGACTCTAGCATTGTTCTTCGAAATGTTGGGTACTAGATGCACATTTGCAAAAATACTGCAAATTACATAAGAAATTAATTAATCACAATTTTGTATTTGCAGGAATTTTGTTTCTTAAACTTGGAAATTAAAATTTTGATTTATAGAGGGAATAGGTGGGAAAAGGGGAGGATTTTAAATTACCGAATTTAAGAATGCATAAGACGCACCCTTAACTTTTACCCTTAATTAAAAAAAATTCTCCAGGATAAGCTGTGGATAACCTCTCTACTATCTATATTATTTCTTTCGTTTTGGAGGCGTGAAAGCAGCTAAAATGAAAATACCACGCACTGAAACAAAATTTTTATTGTAGGTAAAAAAAAGGAACCTGTTTTGATGTTTAGCAGCCTATGTTCACTATCACCACTAGAGTAGTAACCTTCAAGATATTAGTATTACTATCGATATTAGCACCAATATCTACAACCATAACTAAACTTGTCCAGCAAAATTCACCCAATAGCAATAGATTTTGTACTCAACTGTTAAATTTCGCGCTGCTGTGTTACCACTTGTTTGTATGTACCTACTTCTAATCTTTCCCTTGTATTAAGTCGTACTTTAGATTTTTAACTGCATTCTTATAAAAAAGTGTGGATTATACACGACAGAACAAGGTATTATAAAATTGCACGTATTTTGCACAAATTTAATTTTTGGGTCATTTATCCTCCTATCGATAAAATTTCCAGTTCCATACTTAAGGACCCCATTCTGGATATAAATTCCTTGGGTATTTACAGGATTTCTTGCCAATGCGGTTTAATTTATATTGGTCAAACTAAGAGAGTATTAAAATTTTGCGTTAAAGATCATCAGGCATATGTTAGGAAAACGAAAACACAGAAGTCCTTTGTTGCCAGCATTGTTGGTCCGAAAATCACACTTTTGATTTTTCTGCAGCCAAAATTATCCAAAAAATATCTTTCATTGGTGAATTAAATTTTCTAGAGGCTTTTCACATTAAAAACCTTTCTGTTCTAGTTAACGACCGTAATTCTAATCCATCTTACCATCAGCTTTTAAGGAAATTATGTTTTTAGTTTTCTTGTTTCATCAGTATATGGCACCAGTGGCTTAACTCCTGTCCATCCATTCTTATCTTATCACAATATCTTATCTCGTTCATTTGCGCTTTGGCAACTAAGGCACATGATCCGGTAGTAAAACCATCGAAACTAGTCTTGGAAATTTTGCAAGTACAACGCTGATTTTCGTTGTTTGACTTCTAAGTTAATCGTTGTTCGACGTGTTATTTTAACCTAAATAATACACAATTAGTTAGGCATTTGAATTTATGAAAACAATACCACGTACTAGCGCTTTTAAAGACACGCGCGAGCGCTTCATGTTTGTAGTGTATTTTAGACTTGTTTTCATCTAGAAAAGAATTCTTCTACACTCTAGGATTATATAAAAATTACATCATAAGAAACAGTTCTTCGATCTTGAATTTATTTAAAATAGGATGTTAAAAGTATGATAAAAAATAGGTATAAGGTAGGATAGTGAAAGTCGAAAATCAACTTGCGCTTTACGGTGTTATCCAGTTTAAATATCAAAACCTTAAATGATATTCCTGAAATTTGCATTAAAAATATACAGAAATAATGAAATATTCCTTTATTGTTTTTCAAGTCTTTATTTCAGATTTAGATGATATTTTTTTTTCAATAAATATTTTCAAACAAAATTTTTTAAAAATTTAGAAGTTTGATTTTTTTTCTTTTTTCATAAAATCATGTCCTGGAGAAAGCATGGATGTTTGTAAATGTATAGCGTCTGCGTGGCATGGTAGCACTCTAAATATGCGGCGAGCTGAAAGACCTTAGACAGGCTGATGGTAGGGGAAGAGGGGTGGGAAACCTTCGGACCCATCCGCCCGGGGTGCTCTCCATCAAAATTGGAGGTGGAACTGAGCATAGTCGTCGGTACAATCTTGCACTCCTTGCTACAATGAATTTCGTGGGCTTGTTTTGATGTTACTATCAGACACGTGAGATAAGTCACGAAAACAACAACAAATCATTATGAAGTTTGTCAGATGTCTTCTAATGAGAGTCTTCAACAAAACGTCCACAGTGGTGTAAATACATACTGCCTTATTATCGCCTATTTATGCTATATTCCAGAAGTTACTATCTGTATTTTGTTTCTTTTTTTAGATGATGCATTATTTAATTGCCAAATTCTTGGCATACCAGTGAGAGGACCATTTATGTTCACTGTTGAGGCATTTGTGCTGGTATGAGCTTTCAATGTACAATAGCCTTGAAAACGACGAACAGTACAGTTTATAGAAATTTTAAATGGCTATTACTAACTGACATAAATTTAATCATCATATAATAATAATAATAATAAGTATAATATATATATATATATATATATGAGTTCCTTTCCAAAAAAGGATCGTAACGAAAATCTTTTGAGTAAAAGCTGGCAATTCTAATCTACTTTATCGCAGTACGATAGATCTGATTTTCAGCTAAAGCTAACTTCATCTATATTCTGTTAGTGGCTTCTTATTCAATAAACATATTTTCTCTTCAAATCTATATTTGTAAGCGTTCCAGACTTTTATTTTGTCACTGGATGCTTCTGTACTGTTGATTGAACATATTAGTTTTATGTATAATCAGTTGCATCCTACCCATCCAGGTTTTAACGATGTTTCACATTATAATTAAGTTTGCATTTCTTGTGTTAATCTAATCCTTTAAGTATTGAATTTAAAAAGTGTTTGGAAATACCAGAGATCAAACAATTATTATTGCTAATTTTTAATGAAAATTCCAAATTTCTGCCTCAGTGTATTAGAAATGCATTGAGGCAGAAATATTGCCTTAGAAATGAGACACATGCATTAGAAATGAGACGAAATCAAAAATAAACCTTCTCTGAAAGACAATAAAATAATGTAGTAGTTTATTGCTTTTATACTACTAATAATTAATTTTAGGTGCCCTTAAACATAT